AGTGCTCTTTGAACTCCTGCACCCAGGGATTCCTTAAGCTTAGCCCCTGGATTCCCCCAGTTACATGAGTCAGTAAAGACCAGTTGGGGGCTACATATTGGGGTTCTGTCTCTTGCAACCGGGAGAGTTCTAAATAATATTTCAGGAGACTTGCTTCAAGTCACCTGGGAAACTGATGGCACAGGTTGGGCAGGGAGGAATACAGGGTTTGATACCCACCGGGATGAGACCTGCTATCAGAGCGGTTACACATCGGGCTGCTAACTGTAAGGTCAGCAGTTCGAAACTACCAGCCAGTCAGCAGGAAAAAGACAGAGGTTCTACTCCCGTAAAGGCTTACAGTTTCAGAAACGCACAGGGGACAATTCTACCTTGTCCCATGTGGTCACTATGAGTCCGCACTGACTCAATGGCAGCGAGTTTTGTCTGTTTGTTTGCTTGAGACATGAGGCTGTGTACTTCTGTCAGGAGTTACAGTCTTGGAAACCCACAGGGGCAGGTCTTCTCTGCCCTATAGGGTCGCCACGAGGTGAAACAGATTCAATGGCCTTGAGCTTGGTTTGGGTTTGTTCCCTTTCGGTCGAAAGCACTGCTTTGTTTATAAAGTGACACCAATTCAGTTTATAATTAAGAGGGATTCTTCATAACCCCCTCTGTACAGATGCGGTGATGCCTGGGAGGGGGCCACAGGAGGGGCAGGCCCTGAACCTCTTACCTTCTTCTCCACTGTCCCCCCGGTCCCCATCCTGACCATCCTGGCCATCTTTGCCAGGAAAGCCCATTCTGCCCACCATTCCTGAGGGCCCCGGGGCTCCTGGGGGTCCAGGGGGGCCCTGAGGGCCAGGCAGGCTGCAGACGAGTTGAGGGGAACCCTTCTGGAAGTCCTTGCGGGCTAAGGCGCTGAGCAGTGAGTCGGCAGCACAGGGGAGGGCACAGGCCAAGAGCACCCAGGAGATCATGGCGGCCACCTGTGGAAGGCAAGAGAGTCGTGAGTAGGTGAGGCCACCTGCTGAGCGAGCTGAACAGGGGTCACTTAGTTGGGGGCCCAGGGAGGAGGAGAAGGCAGCCAGGACAGACTCTGTTATATGTAGCTCTGTCTCTTCCTCTTTCCAGCATCACACACCAATAGGTGAACCAAGTGGACACATTTGGATGCACTAAGTTACATTAAAGGCTTGATTGATACCCAGCATACACTTGGGGAGGGCCTCGCGGTGAAGGCTCTCATCCTCTGGAGTGGCTGAAACAGAGGCAGGGCCCGCAGCCCAGGAACTGCCGCCTAGGAGGAGCTGGGGATGGACAGAAACGACCCAGGTTTTCACTCAAAGGGGCAGCACAGATGGAAAGTTACAAGGGCAGAAAAGCTTCAGGTTGCAAGAGATGATGTGAGTCCAGCTGCTTCTCTCGGGGGACTCAGGGTAGGACCCAGAACTCAAGGAGAATGCAGGGTGCAGACACTCAGTGAGGGTGTACGGTTACCTGAGGAACATGGGCAGCCTGACAGCACTCCTCTCCCAAGTGGTTACTGGCACCAGGCACAGGCCAAGGAAGAGCTTCTGCACATTACACAGTCTTGCCACATCCTTGTGGACGAGATAGAGATGCTCAGGGGAGTTAGCAGCCTACTCATGCCATGCAATCAGCAGGGCTGGGATCGGAGCCAGGTGTTCCAAGGCAGGGGCTGTGCCCTCCTGGCCCAGGCTAGGCTGGGAGAGAGCAGCATGTTCACTCCAGAGACAAGAGTGTTCCTGTCTCAGATAGGATCTGTTCCCCACCCATCACTGTGCAGATGCAGAGACCAAGGTCTGGGAACCAGAGACTTGCCCACGTTTTCTCAACAAGTCGGCTTTGCAGTCCACAGTTTCTCCACCAAAAATGGGGATGACTTCTTGCTTTGGGGATGAGCTCAGAAGTGAAAGCTTTCCATGTGACCTTAGGGAAGTGCTTTCCTCTTTCTGGGCCTCGGTTTCTACACCTGAACACTGAGGCGTTGGGTTAGATCCCAAACCAAACAGATCCAGTCTAGTTGACTCCAGCCTCACGGTGACCCCACCGGAGTCAGAGCAGAGCTGTGCCCCACAGGGTTCCCAATGGCTGTGACCTGTCAGGCCTTTCTTCTCAGGCAGCTCTGGGTAGGTTCCAATCCTGGCCTTTGGGCTAGCAGCTGGAATCGTCACTGTGTGCACGACCCCATGTCTTCCTTGACTAGCCCAGTGGTTCTCATGCTTGAACGGGCATCAGATTGACCTGGAGGACTTACTAAAGATTGTTGGGTTCCCCCCCACCGCTCCTGGGGACTCACCAAGAAAGGCAGGGGTGGAAACACAATGTGCATTTTTAACAAATTTCTAGAAGAGAGTGTGATGGTGGTCCAAGG